AACAACCAATTGTTTAAATTAAAAATTGGTTTATGCAGGCAAAGCTTGTGTCACTGACAAGAAATAATACCAATCATCTCACAATACTTCTACAGAGACAAATAAGATAATATTTTTCAAGTACTTCCAACTGCCCTACCATAAAACTACACAAATTCTAAGCAATAATGTAATGGGAACTCTTGACATGCAGTCTGAATATTCTAAAAATAAAAATATTAACAAGAAACACACAATACATTAGTTTTAATAATACCTACCATGTCTGCAGAATAACTGAATGACTACTTTGCACTTGTCAGATCTGGTGAATATTTTGCACACCTCTACATTTCTTTCGAGGGAATTCAGACATCTGAAGATGGGCAGAATTGACTGTAATACAAATATATTATGGAACAGCATATACTCAATATGATTGTTTACTTAGTTTAAAAATAAACAAAAGAAGAGTATGCATATTCATAAATGAATAGATTTGTCCTACCTGCCATTAAAACCAAGTATTAAGTACAGAATAGATGTTCTGTCTGATATACCAAATATTTCCAAAATATAAGAGACAACCAGGGCCACTTATATTTACCTTAATTCCCAATTTGCAATTTAAATTTGATTTTGTGCCATTATTCATATCTACTGAGGTTGACCATTGATAATGTTGGAAAAACACAGGAGAGAAGAGGACACATCCGTATGCTGAGCGACAAGAATTCACAGACCTTAAAGCAAGCTGGGGGAAAAAAAAAAGCTATTAAGGAGAAAAAATGTTCTTTAAATGATTAATTTAAAAAATTCTATTTTGTTTAATATAGCAATTAAATGTGTTCATATAAGGTTAACTGCATTATATGGCTATGAATTATATTATATGAACTGCATTTATACACTGTATATTAAATTTGCATATGCATACACATATGTATACATATCTATATTGAATATATATAGGTATTAAATCTAAAATTTTGCATGTTGAAATTGTAAAATTACAAATGCCTACAGGGCCTTAACTTTAATGTACAAAGTGGCAGAAGGCAATATAAAAGGGAGTAAAAAGAGTTCACAGTAAAATGGCGATCTCTTGCCTTTTCTAAGGGGAGAAACTGTTAGTCTCAACCAACTACTTCCACTTGGGAATACAGGCCCCAAACTGTCAGATCTTCTTGAGTTTTCAAGAGAAATAGGAAATTAAGATTTTTATGTGGACTCTCCCCATTTTTAACTGTTAAAAATAATTTCAATTTCTAAAAAATACAGTGCAATCCCCATAAAACACTTGTACAAGCCATATCTAGCCTCTTGACCACCAGTTTGTGACTTTTGATTTAAATTAATTGTGTTTATCTGCATGATTTAAAATTTTTCTATGCTCAAAATCAATGCTTTTCAATGGGTGTGCTGCAAGAATTTTTAAAACATGTAATACATGACTATTCAGGGGCACTGAACTCTTTTTCCTTAGATTGTCAAATTTAAAACAATGATAACAGCCAACACAATAGCCATCCAGTGTGAATGAATCAAAATTATACCTATTTTTTGTTAGATTAGCAAAAAATGTATTTTTGGTGTGCCGAAAAATTTTAGTAGTTTATGTGTACCATGAGATGAAAATGGTTGAAAATCGCTGTTCTAAATATATTTAGATATGTACAATAAATATGAACAGTGAAAAGGATAATTACAATTTCTGGATTTCCTAGTTAACATACAATCTGTACTGGAATCTTAAACTTCTTTTGTCTTAATAAATTAATGGTCTATGAGTTAACTTTCTTACTTACACCTTTTTCAGATGGGTCTAGCCACAGCTCGTCACTAATTCTTGACAGAGCTTGGATTGCTTTCCCAAAGACTACAGAGAAAAAGAAAGGTGCTGCTTATATTCTTTCTCTCAAACAAAAACAAATCATAGGTCTACTTCAGCATTCATGGGACTTAAATTCATAAAGAACAGTGTTTATGGACTAATACTACAAATTGCTTTAAGAAATACATTGGGGGGCGGTGGGAGCAGGGTGGAGAAGGTCAATGGTGGTGGGGGGGGAGGGAACCTCTGTAATACTTTCAACAATAATTTTTTAAAAAAGAAATACATTATAATACTATTGGCAAAATGCCAAGTTAATATTAAGAGCTCAATAAATTCAAAGAATGAGTATATGAAATAACATGCAACAAAATTCTTCCTTTCTGCATGTTTGCAGTGTTGCATGGAACTACTGTGGCAAGCCAATTTCTTCCCATACTAATGTATTTTAAAACTTGTATCTTCCCCTACCCCACCCTGGGAAAAGTGTAAAAACAAAGAATGGAGAGGATGGTTTGAAGGTTTTTAATAACTTGACTGGTAGCAAAGTCAAAGCAAGTCATGAGATAAATTAGAGGCTCTCAAGATGCATCTCTGATGTTTGAGGGTTGCATGAAAGATGCCAAATCTTCCCACCAAACATACTTAGATGTCCTTTCAGAAAGAGAGGCTATCCCTAGCCAGTTTGGCTCCGTGGATAGAGCCTCGGCCTACAGACTGAAGGGTCCCAGGTTCGATTCCGGTCAAGGGCATATGCCTAGGTTGTGGGCTCCATCCCCAGTGGGGGGCGTGCAGGAGGCAGACAATCAATGGTTCTCATCATTGATGTTTCTAGCTCTCTCTCCCTCTTCCTTCCTCTCTGAAATCAATAAAAATATATTGTAAAAAAAATAGGGCTGAATGAAAACTGGTATGACCTGGCATGACGCTTGCAATGTCCTCATGAGTTATTAATATGTAAAAAAAATGTGGCAAACAGATATGGAATGAAATGCTGCAAAATAAACATAGATGGCCATATCAATTTATGGAAAAGTACACAAAAGGGAAAACAATTCCAGAACATAAAATTAGATTATAAGGCTTAATCATAAGTATGTGAGCTGGGAGTGTGGACCTCAAACTGAGAAAGATTAGATGACTAGGGGGAAAGATAGATGCATTTGCCCCTTTTCCCCACTTCACATTCACTTTTTCCCGGAGCTGCCTAATGCAGATCTTTCATTCAGCCAATCAATATTTATTGTGGCACCTACAATGTTCCAAGCACAACCCCAGGGCAGTCGGGGTATAGGGAGGAACAAGACAGGAATAGTTCCTGCCCTCACAGTGTTTACAGTCCAACATAATTAAACAATCATGTAAATAATTGCTCATTAAGAATTGAGAATTTCCTGTTCAATACTGCTCCACAGAAGTCCTCAACACAGGGAAGCCAGCTGCATTGCAAGATGCCTTTCCATGATCATTTTTCAGGTTACAGTTTGTAGGGAAACCATTGCTTTTCCAAATACAGATTTTCTGGAGTCATTTACATGTTTAAAGTACCATCCTATATAATCAAAGGCTAATATGCAAACTGTCCCCTGGGGAGTTTGACCCACTGGGAGGTCAACGGCTCACTATGACGTGTGCTCACCACCAGGGGGCGGTCCCAGGCCCCAGTGGCCCTGATCACAGGCCAGGCCTAGGGACCCTTCCCGGGCATGAATCTCCAGCATCAGGCCTCCAGTTTATAATTGTCCCTGTACATTCCCATTTATTGAGCTCTTTATATGCATTTCCTTTCATCGCTACAACAAACATGCTATTTGTCATCTTACTGATGACGGGAAACTGAGCCCTAAGGTGATTTTGTCGCTTGTCCCAGGTCATAAATCAAATAAATGGTAGGATTGGGGCTGGGCAGAGGGGGATGAGGGGGGGGGGGGGGGAATGGGAGACATCTGTAGTGCTGTCAACAATAAAATACAATAAAAATGAAATTTAAAAAATAAATAAAAATGGTAGGCTCTAAAATGAAGAACTGGTTTGTTTTTCCCATGACACTCAAATACTTTGTCCAAGCATTACTTTTAGCCTCAACTCTGCCCCACAGTTCATCCCGATTTTGAGGCCCACACTCCCCATCTCTGCCCCGATGGTGCCGCTTCATTTCGTAGACACCTATGAAAATAAATATTAAGCAGAAATCAAAGCACATGGGCCTTCATCTTCGCCTCGGAAACTAACAGGGCCATGGGGGCCGGGGGCTGGTTGTGGCCAGACTTTGTGTCCTCAGCCCTTAGGCATAAGAGCAAAGGGTTAAGAATAAGATGATGGCGGAACGCTCCCCGGAACCCTCAGGCTTTCCCTCTTTATCTGTAGGAAGGGAAGAAAGGCCGCTCCACCTTTCACCTGGCTGCCGCTCATCCCGCACTTCAGCATGGCTGTGGGCCCTAACAAGCTGAGTCGCAAAGCGCCACCACTCGACGCCCCAGGTTCCCGGATGTTGCCCGCGCCTTCAGAAGCTTCGAGATCTCCTCCCTCCCTTCCACTTCCCCTCCATCCCCGGAAGTAGCTTCGCGTTACGGCGGGAAAGAGCCTAGGCGGGCCACCGTACCGCGGTCTCCTGTGGACCTCTGTTTTCATTGGTTGTGAGCGAAGTGGGCGGGCCTCCGAGGAGTCTGAGGAAGAGGGCGGCGGCGGTTGTGGTGACTGAGCGGAGCCCAGTGACAGGATGGTGAGGATGGCAACTGCGGCGACCGAGGCTTGGCTCGCGGCCGGGGTGCTGCGTCGTAGGGAGCGGCTGGGAGTCTCTGGGCGAGGGGCGAGACAATCCCGGAGGCCTGTGTGGGCGCGGTTCGGGCCGGGCCTGGGAAGGCCCGGGGGGGAGGGCCAGGGAGGTAAGGGAGCGGCCACTGCTGGGTGAAGCCGGCTCCGGCCTTGTACCCCCGCCCCAGGGGCCGGAGGACGTCCGAGGGGGAAGGAGGCCCCTCTCATCTGCGAGTCCTGTCGCGAGACCCACACGCCCGAGCGGGGAAAGGCCTTTGGGCCTGTGCTTCGGCCGTTCCCGAGAAATGGGGGCACGGTCCCCCTCCGTCTCCAGACGTTCCCCTATTTCTTCCCCGCTGGTTGGGGTGTACAAGTTATCCGCCCCCCCCCCCCCAACCCGATCTCCCCAGTTGGCGAAAGCTGGCTTCTCAGAAGCAAAACGGGAAGTAGCGAGCAGAATCCCTTACCCGGCTTGGTTTGCCATGTGGGGAAAGGGGATGCAAACGATCCCTTTCGCCCTGAAACAGCGTGCAGCTGCCATTGCGCCGTGGTAGGTTACGCGCTCCCTTCCAATTGCCGAAACGCCTTGTGTATTTAGGATGCTGCGACCTTTTAGAGAGTAGGATTCCTTAATGATCTGGGAACTCCTTGACATTTTTTGGAGAATGTGGAGGTCTTTCTGGGTAAAGGGCTAGTGTTTGGTGCTACGTGGGTAGTTCGGGGAGCTTTGCTTTAGTCTTTCGTCAGGTCGCCCCAACCTGCCACCAGGCCGGCCCGTCACCCTCTCACCCCGGCCGGTTGCTGCCCCTGAGACCGTCCTGCTGCTGGTGGGGCTCATGGCTGTGATCCGTTTCCTAAGGTGCTCTTGACGCCCTAAAACTGGAACTACCGGGGCAGAACAGTTTCAGAAGAGCGCTGATGACCTTGGTGTTGGTGTTGATGAGATTTAACTGTAGAGGAACTTTCCTTTCTGATGGGTATCCATTGCATTTTTAAGATTTATCACGATTCTGTGGCAAACATAGCTTTTGAGGTGGCGTATGGACATGACCAAGATTTATGGTATATGCTTCCTTATAAATGTGAAAAGCTTTCATCTTTTGATTTTTGCTTCTAAACCAGACTCCAGCTTAGAGCACATTTTACAGTGATTTTGAGACATTGATCCTTGGGAGAAGATGAAATTGCTTGACATGTATCAGTTTTTGTTGAGAGGTTAACACTTTTTTTTAGGGTAGTTGCACCAGCACATCATTTTTCATGTCAAATAGAAAGAACTGGGCGGAATTTAGCATTAGCCCATCTTTTATTTGGCAAAAGGGGACTAGAAACATTCAACACGCGGTAGTATCCAAGAGTCCACAGGCAGCAAATTCATTTTTATGTGGAGAGGAATGTGTTTGTTTTTATCATCGTTAGTTGGTGACTTCATCACTCGATAATGTATTTGTAGTGCTACTTTAGATCAGCTATACAAAATAATGACCCAAACTGCAGCATAATTTTACAACTAGAATTTTAACATAGTTAAGATCAATATACTTGAGGAATAGTGAGGCCATAAGAATGTAGAAAAGGTTAGCTTTCGTTAAAGCTACGACTGATTAATTTTCCAAATTGTCTTGTAAAATGCTAAGTAAACAGGAAATGAAAGGGTATGAGAGTCATGTGGAGAATAAGATTAGGAAAAAAATGGACAAGGCAAAAAATTTTAGAAGTATGTATGCATGCGCGTATGTGTCACGTTTAAAATATAGCAAATGGTTCTTTTGGTATTTTGAGCAAAGCTGATTTTTAACATTTTCTTTCATAACACTCAGAAATCATTAACAATTGTTTGCATATTCATTTGATATGAGTTTTTTTGGGTTTGTTTCTTTTTGTTGCTTTCTTTTAACATTGGTCATGTTTCACCCTTTTTTTTCATTCCCCCTGTCTGCAATCAACTTCTTCATTCCACTAAGGCTGGGCACAGAGTAAGTTTCTTCTCTTAGCTCCTCCTAATAATGGTGGTTGGGTGTCTGATTACTGGGATTTTCACCCTCTTATAGACTATCAAATAGGATATAGCCAAATTCCTATGCTTTGATTGGGTTGGTTCTTTATTTGAATTTAACAAGACTGCCATTTCCAGGACCTATTGCTGTCTTAAAAGACTATAATCTATGTCTAACCTGAACTGTCAAAGTGTGGGATTTGGGCAAGGACATTCCTCAAAGTCTGATATTTGTTATGTGACACTATTTCCCTTATAATTTTGTCACTTGCAGGAAACCAGAGTCCTAGTTAGGACCCTTACTAATTTTAAATAATTTCTGTGTGGTCATTCATACAGTTATAACTTTAGAATGCTGATATCTGGGCACAGGGGCATAATCCACAGTACATTATAGAATTTAGGTTATCAATCATTATAAAGTATCATTTCTTACTAATGTTCTTTTTAGTTCATTCAGATGGAACAACTCATTCACTATTAGTCCCAAACATTTTTTTAAAATATATGTATATATTTTAAAAATATGTATTGTTATTGGTCTCAGAGAGGAAGGGAGAGGGAGAAAGAGATAGTAACATCAGTGATGGGAGGGAATCATTGATTGGCTGTCTCTCGCTCGCCCCCAACTGGGGATCGAGCCCACAACCCGAGCAAGTGCCCTTGACTGGGACTGGAATCAAACCCCGGACCCTTCAGTCACCAGGCCGTTGCTCTATCCACTGAGCCAAACCAGCTAGGGCAGTCCCAAACATTTCAACCTGTTACAGACATATACCCTTTTATGGTTTGAGATTATTCTTTTTTTTTTTTTTTTTAATAAGGATATCTTTACCTTTTTTTCAAATGCCAGCTTCCCACATTAACTATGCACCTCAATACATATCTGAAGGGATCTCCCTCTAAAGATGAAGATTGTTGTTATATCTCTAGGTACTTTTGTATTCTTTACCAATGAAGGTCAAAACTTCATGGTGGTTTTAGTTTCACAGATGTTTTACCCATCTGGATTGAAACAATATAAGTCCTTGAGCAAATACCAGCTGAATCTAGTCTTTATAAAGAAACTTATTTAACAACTTCTTTTAAAATGCTCTAATTTTACTGCAGTTACTCTACATCCTGAATAGTTCCTTTCCTTTGTAATCATTTTGATATTTGTTGCAACATGAATCAAGCTTGTTTTAATAATTTTAATTTTGCACATTTTGTTTTTGATTAATTTCAGTTTACAAAGTCAGTGGTGACAAAACTTTTGTTTTATCTTATTTTAGATATTTAATGTTTTCTTTGATAATAAGAAATCATACCTTTTTAAAAAGCAGTTAAAGGGCATGTACATTTATGGATGGGACGTCTGTGTGGGAAAACATGCTGTCATAGAGTGAAGGTGCTTATACTAATCAACATGAAATTGTTGTCCTTTGGAGGGCAGATATTTTTAAACTAGAGGCACCGGTGGGGTTCCTGGGCCTGGCCTGCGGGGATTGGGCGAAACCGGCTCTCTGACATCCCCCAGGGGTCCCCATTGTAAGAGGGCGCAGGCCACGCCAAGAGACCCCACCAGTGCATGATCAGGGCCTGGGGAGGGACCACGGGAGGGCTCCAGGGCATGTCAGGTCTGCTTGCCCAGTTGGAGCGGCTGTCTCCTGGTGGTCAGTGCACGTCATAGCGACTGGTTGAATGGCAGAATGAACGTTGGACACTGAGCATATTAGGCCTTTATTATATAGGATAGGATGACCTTTTTTAATATATTCTTCTGTTAAGTGACTTAGTTAAATAATATTTACATGTAAACTCATTAATATATTACAGGATTGAGATTTTTATTTTTTATATTAAAGTTTGCAACTCTAAACCACTTCCTACTAAATTCATCACTTATTTAACTGACTCCTTTTTTTAATGCTCTAATGCACATGAAAGATTGTGAAAATGTTATTTTAAGTTTGGAAACTAAACTAAGGACACGTAGGCAATTTAATCTAGACAATTACTATATGACAGGATTTCTAATGAAAGAGAAGATAAAGATTATTATTATCTCTAGGTACTTTTGTATTGAAAAATACACATTTGTCCTATTGAAACTTTGTGAAACATAGGCTGTTTTTATTCCTCTGTAATGTGTAGCTAATAGTTTTAAGTAGCAAATATTGTAAATTTTGGCTATTATTCCTCCAAATAGTTGTCAGGCTAGTAAACATAATTATAGAATTAATTTTTTTATCATTACTTTTTTTTTTTTTAATCCTCACCCTGGGATATGTTTGGAGAAAGTAAAGGAGAGAGGGAGGAAAGGAGGAAAAAACATCAATGTGAGAGAGAAACATCCATGTGAGAGAGACATTGATCGGTTGCCTCCAACCTGGGATCAAACTGGCAACCTAGGTATGTGTCCTGACTGGGAATCAAACCTACAACCTTCTCGTGTACTGAATGGCACTCCAACTAAATGAGCCACCTGGCCAGGGCTCTACCATTTCATTTTTTTTTTTTTTTTTAATACATTTTATTGATTTTTTACAGAGAGGAAGGGAGAGAGATAGAGAGTCAGAAACATCGATGAGAGAGAAACATCGATCAGCTGCCTCCTGCACATCTCCTACTGGGGATATGCCCGCAACCCAGGTACATGCCCCTGACCGGAATCGAACCCGGGACCTTTCAGTCCGCAGGCCGACGCTCTATCCACTGAGCCAAACCGGTTTTGGCTCTACCATTTCATTTTTAACAGTTCTCTTTATTAATGTTCCTGGAATCAATCCATGAGATTTTAAGAACAGAGTACATTATCATGTGTGATATGTGTGTTTGTTTAAATGGTTATGATAAGGAAATGTATGAATAACTTCTGCTCCTTTGTGTTCTGGAATCTCTGATTAGTTTAATTTAAAAGGGGGTTATTGGAAGAGAGTATCTTGTTTTGACATAATGTTTAACATTACACCTTGTCTCACCTTGACACTTTAAAGTTGGTGTTGGTATTAGGAGACCTGCACATCCCACACCGGTGCAACAGTTTGCCAGCTAAGTTCAAAAAGCTGCTGGTACCAGGAAAGATTCAGCACATTCTCTGCACTGGAAACCTTTGCACCAAAGAGAGTTATGACTATCTCAAGACTCTGGCCGGTGATGTTCATATTGTGAGAGGAGACTTCGATGAGGTGATGTATTTCCCTTTCTTTCACAATATTTCCTTTTCTTGATTTTCACATATAAAGCTTTATCCTTTAGACTAGTTTCTCAACTATTAAGGTCTCTTTTCCCCCAAAATATAAAATTACTACACATACCCCTCCTTCCTGTTGGAAAATCACTGAATTTTAGATTGCTCAATAAACATATTGAGTACTTGTTCTAACTAAATTGATACGGAGTAAAAGTAGTTTTGTCACTATTTTTTGGAGTATTATCATTTAGTTTATAAAGTTTTTGTTATGAACTTCTTACCACCACGATCACCTCTACTACCGTGTTCCAAGGACCATATCACTTTCCTATATTCCAACTTCCTCATTCTACCCTCCCTCCGTCCACAGTTTGTTCTCCAAGTAGCAGAGTGATCCTTTCTAAGTGAAGATCACATCACTGATCTGTTGAAGAGCCTACCATGGCTCTCTGTCACCAGGTTAACTATAAAGTACTGGCAGGAGGAAGTTTTGAGGAAGTCATAGAATTGTTTTATATCTTGATTGTGGTGGTGCTTACATGACTATATGCATTTGTCAAAACACCTTGAATTATATACTAAGAAGGATAATTTTACTCTATGTAGATTATACCTCAGTACACCTGACTTTAAAAAAGAAAAAAAAAAAAGTTAGAAATTCTGGGGTTCCAACTTTGCCCATTAATTAACAATGAGATTTTAGGCACATTATATCCTCTTTCTGGTCTTAGTTTCCTTCTGTGTAAATAGATTGGAATAGATGATTTTTAAAACCCCTGCCAGTACTAACATTGTATGATTTTAAATTAAAAATCTGAGTCTGAAAATTTTTTTATTTCTGGGAATATAAACTGTTTCAAAAATTATTTAACTTTATTGTTGCTTTTTAATGGGACTCTTTATATCAAACTGAATGACCATAGTGTTGTTGTTTTTTAGTGGATTTTTGAAAGTTTGGGTAAACTAGAGCTTGCACAGAGGTGAAAGACAGGAATGAGAAGGAAAGAGGCAAACTTCTTGTCAATAATTAGAATATAGGTCTGCTTTGTTAAAAACATTAGTGGTTCTGTTTGTGTTATACTAAAAATAGTTTTAGCCCTAGCCGGTTTGGCTCAGTAGAGCATTGACCATGGACCAAAGGGTCCCGGGTTTGATTCAGGTCAAGGGCTTGTACCTTGGTTGCAGGCTCCTCCCTAGCTCCAGCCCTGGTCAGGGGGCGTGCAGGAGGCAACCAATCGATGTATTTCTCTCACATCGATGTTTCTGTCTTTCCCTTTCTCTTCCACTCTCTCTAAAAGATCAATGAGAAAATATCCTCGGGTGAGGATTAACAAAAAATAACAGTTTCAGTAGCAAGAATTCAAAATTTTTGCTACAAATTTGCTCAAGTCACAATCCCTGAAGCCATGCTACCAAACCCTGGTAGCTCAACCACTTATTAATGTGTGACTTTGGCCGAAACCGGTTTGGCTCAGTGGATAGAGCATCGGCCTGTGGACTGAAGGGTCCCGGGTTCGATTCCGGTCAAGGGCATGTACCTGGGTTGCAGGCACATCCCCTGTGGGAGATGTGCAGGAGGCAGCTGATCGATGTTTCTCTCTCATCGATGTTTCTAACTCTCTATCTCTCTCCCTTCCTCTCTGTAAAAAATCAATAAAATATATTTTAAAAAAAAAATATGTGTGACTTTGGGCAGGTTATTTTAACCTCTCCATGCCTCCGTTTTTTTCATCCATAAAATGGGGGTCAGAATAGAATCTACCTCTTAGGATTATTTTTCCTTAAATATATTTTTATTGATTTCAGAGAGGAAGGGAGGAGGAGAGAGAGATAGCTAGCTTCTTGCATGCCCCACACTGGGGATGTAGCCCTCAACCTGGGCCTATGCCCCCACCAGGAATGGAACCGTGATCTCCTGGTTCATAGGTCGATGCTCAACCACTGAGCCATGACCACCAGGTTTAGGATTGTTTGTAAGCATTAGGTAGGTTGATATTTATAAAGTCCTTAGAATAGTGCCTGTTTCATACTAAGTACTATGTATTTTAAATTATTTTAAGTCATCATCTATATAACTTAAAGCCTGGGGTACAGGCCATATGCCTAGGATTCTTAGGGAGAGGAAACCCAGAAATTTGATGGGATAATCATTTTCTACAGCATGCCCAAAAGAATCTATATTCTATAAAAATAAACACAAGGTATTGCATGAGACATTTCAGTTATGTGCATAGTTGCAGCCTTAGAGACTAAGAAGAAATCATATTTAATAGTGTTGGTTGTGGAGCAAAACATCCATATGAGACTGAATATTTAAAAGCAGGTTGTTTTTTAAACATGAGTATGTTTATTTCTTATTTTAGAATCTGAATTATCCAGAACAGAAAGTTGTGACTGTTGGGCAGTTCAAAATTGGTTTGATCCATGGACATCAAGTTATTCCATGGGGAGATATGGCCAGCTTAGCCCTGTTGCAGAGGCAGTTTGATGTGGACATTCTTATCTCAGGACACACACACAAATTTGAAGCATTTGAGCATGAAAATAAATTCTACATTAACCCAGGTTCCGCCACTGGAGCATATAATGCCTTGGAAACGTGAGTAATATGTAATTTGGGAATTTGGGGGTTTTATAAACTTAATAATTGCATGTGTGACATTTCATAAAAGAGAAATGCAACCATTTAAATATAGCCTTTCTGGCCATCTTCTTTTGGTGGTTATTCTTTTTAATATGTAACAACCAGACTTCTCCTTGAATCCAAATTGTCATATTAAATTTATAGTGCTGTGGTTTTTTAGTACAAAACACTGACATTACTTATATCTCCTTCCAGAAACATTATTCCTTCATTTGTGTTGATGGATATCCAGGCTTCTACAGTTGTCACTTATGTGTATCAGCTAATCGGAGATGATGTGAAAGTAGAACGAATCGAATACAAAAAATCATAAAGCCAGGCCTGTCTTGATTTTTTCTGTTGTTGTTGTTTCTTATTAATTCCCCTGTTCAAATCAAGTAATGAAACAATTAAGAGCCACAAAATTGTATCACTTTTATAATATTTTGCAGTAAAATGTATCGTCTTCTGTTAATACAACGTCTAAGCTTCTTGTAAACTATAAGAATTTATTTAGTTTAAGTATATGATTTCTATGAAAAAATGTCCCCACACAGTAAATGGTTACATGTTAAGAAAAACTTATCATTGTAAATACCTTCAGAGTTGATATTTAGAACTTTATTATAAAAGTAGTGCATGAGGGAAAAGAATCTGGACTTTCTTGTATACATTTTTCTCTTCTCCAGTAATAAAGTTACCTTTCATTTATACTTTCTTGATAATCTGTTTTAATTTTTAAAAACCATAAAAATGAGAGACCAAATGAAACTGTGGACAAGCATTAAAGTGATGAGATGACTTTTTAGAGCTCTCTCATTTCTTAGAATATTCTGGGTCATAATGTTGGACTCTGATTTCATTTTCTAAATAATATGCCATATGGACATATTAAATCAGGAGAGGTCCTTCAAACTGTTGCTTTAAATTGCCCTATTTTTCAAGTTTTAACAAAAAAAAAATTTTTAACACTAATGTTTAGAAGGGAAACAACCTAGAATGAATATGTAATGTAAAGAATCCTCTCATTAGTACCACCACCCCCAACTTAATCTAGTTTGAGAGGCCAAGTGTTTGTGTAGCAATTTTCATAAAATAGGGCAAACTGACATTTCCATTTTTAAGTTGTATTCAAGCAGCAAATATTTATTAAGCATCATCTTTGCAATCCAGGGTGTTATCTCTATTAAATGCTATGCCATATTAGGATATTTCAAGACTTTTCCTCAGCCAAATCAAGAAAATATTTGTCAGATATTTTAATGTTGCTGTTTTAGGACTTATTGTAAACACAGAGAGAATTATACAATGTAGTTGTCAGATTTAAAGAAAAAATAATTCAGTTTTTAAGTGACAAATATTTTAATTGTATCTAGCTAGAAATAAAAGCATATATTTACACAGGGACTTTATTACACAAATATCATTGGAACATGGAACTACATCAAACCAATTACATGGTTTAAACATTTCTGAACAAACCAAAATTACTTAATGACTTAATGGTGAATAACAGTATCAGTTCACAACCCCTACCCCTACCCCTACCTTTGGCACATTATCAATACATAAGACAAGATTGTCAAGTTAACATCAGATGTTCTCCCTGTTCTTCAATTGACATTGATTGCATACACTTACTTAGAAAATCTTCCTTTATTTCTTCATTGGCGTATGATTCAAAATCATTTGTAGAAACTGAAGACAAAAGAAAAAGAGTTTGTAATGTCTATTTTGGAAACAAAATTGTATTTCACCCTAAAAATTGAGATTTGTATATAAGAACAACCTTCAAAATGACCTACGTTATTAATAAACCTTTAGCAAAAACAGATAGCTTACATTTTCAAAACTGAACTCCCCTTTCCCCCAAATCTCTTACTTTTAAAAATCAGATACTCAATACTGCTCGGCCAGAAGGTCACAGTTGGATTCTGGTCAGGGTATATGCCTGGGTTGCATGCTCAATCCATAGTGTGGAGCTTGCAGGAGGTAGCCAATTATGATTCTCATCATTGATGTTTCTATCTTTCTCTTCCTCTCCCTTCCTCTCAATTCAATAAAAATTTATTATTTTAAAACCTTAAAAAATAAAAGATACCCAGTGCTGTATTCTAGCCAAGTTACTGTACAGCAAATTCTGTTACTAAGTTCTATTTTTCCTTTGCTTTGTAACTTTATTTTTTTTGTTAACACTATTACAGATGTTCCCATTCTTCCCCTGCCTTAGTCTACCTCCAGCCAGCGCCCTTTGTTTTTTAAAATATATTGGCAGGAAAGAAATTAGTTTCAGCATTCCCCATTTTAAGTTCCTTCTTATCTCTCTTCTCTTGGGGACCACAGGGACCTTTCCCCTGCCTGGGGTTTTCTCCAGCTGTTCTTTTTGGAACCAGGCTTACCTTTATCTCTACGGTTTTCCTCAATTCTTGGATAGGCATAGTGTGGTATTTACAGCAGAGCTGAGTGGCACTGTCACATTGTGGTAGTAACTAGGAAATGACGTAACTTCCACTTAATCCTTTCCATTTTATCAATTCTGAGGAATACTTCTGAGCATTTGGTCTTTCTTCCTCTTTTGTCTTTTTCATTTTGTGCTATTCCGTAATTGTAGAAGGATCCTTTATGCTGATCCTTCCCAAGTCTAGATTTGTCTGAGTTGCTCTGTCACCTGCTTGGCTTGCTTCCACTGATTTGTTGAGTAGTGTTAAAATGGTATTGGTGATAATAGCCTTCTGTAAACTATTTGATGCTATACAAACTATGTTATCCTTCCGAAAATGGCACTACCTCATAAAACAAATGCTATAGCTTGGAAAAAGTCATGTTTTTGTGAATTTGAGTTCTGATATGATAAATTCCGTTAAGTCTCTAACCTTGATATTATACCTTTTTAAAAATATATTTTTTTATTGATTTCAGAGAAGAAGGAAGAGGGAGAGAGAGAGAGAGAGAGAAACATCAAAGATGAGAGAATCGATTGGCTGCCTCCTGCACGCCCCACACTGGGAACTGAGCCCTAAACCCGGGCATGTGCCCCGACCGGGAATCAAACCATGACCTGGTTCATAGGTGGATACTCAACCACTGAGCCATGCCAGCTGGGTAACATTATATCTTAATTTATAATTAGAAATACCTTGAATCTTACTACTCTGAGCAGTGTGTTCTTTTAAATGAAAGCAGAAATATATTTCATGTTTAGTTTTATTAGGAGCAATACAAGCAAATCACATTCTAAATTTTCAGTGGCTAGCCTTAATCTATATTGGGTTTAATGATTTTTTATACATGAGATCTTTAAAAATGCATATTTTTCAAATTCTACATTTACCTGATTGCATGAACAGTCTGCCTGGTTTTCTAAAAATCTTCAGCGACTTACATCTTGTTTTAGACACATATCCAGTTTTTAAACTATAAGAAAGAAAAGCATCTTAATAGCAACCAGCAAAGTGAACAGCTGCCTAATGATTGTGGAAGGCTACACAAATTCTCTATTAAGCTGCCAGCATCACCAAAGAGACCCTTTCAGCCCCTGACTTATTAATGTGACTTATTAATCCTGAAATGCAAAGCTAACTATTTTGCAGGTTGAATAATTAGGCTTCTTATCTCATTTTCCCTTTTTGTTTATAGTATTCCCCTGTGCAGAAGCGACCATATGCTTCTCCTTTTGGAAGTGTTTGCATTATTTTGAATTTGAGTATGAATCACTGAAAAGGGCAGTCTTCCATATCTCTAGCTGGTCAAGAAATGTTGACAATTCCACCAAATAAGTTCTAAAAGATGTGGCATATCACAGTCAGCTCAGTAAAGAGACCATAAGATAACATCCTTTTTTGCTTTTTGTCCAGCTGCTTCTGAACTTAGCAAAGTCAACATAATAGGGAACACAAGTTTTAACATCATTTAGCTACCCTTCAAATAAAATTGGGGTACATTTTCCTCCTTTTAAACAATAAGAAGCAGACCTTCCTTTGTTTCTCATGGGTCGCCAAAGGGAATGCTGTATGATCATTTCTGGTGCAGATGCGGCTGCGATGTTGGAAGGCACTGAGTCCCCTCTCTCCAGTTGGTGTCGCCATGTAGTACAGGGGTGATGCTGCTTCTGGGAGTGACGAGAACTGAGGTGGCTCCTGTGATGAGTGAGGACACCTGTCATATAAATCACTTCAGTTAGAGGGCCCTCTCAATTCTTGTGACAACTAGTAAGAAACTAATTGCAGGTGCGCCTGCCTGGCTTGTGAGAGTTGTGCTGGATCATAGGCGTGTACTGCCTCTAAATTAACACCCTCAGATAGTTCCCATTACAGACCTTAGCAGTGCTGCGCAGGTAATGCCTCTGGCCTAGGGTGAGGTCTGGATGCCAAAAGACAGAACAAGATTTGTAGGCTTTTATCTGAAAGGATGACTGTTTAGCAGGGTGTACCATCTGTACGTTTTACTTAAGCAAATTCAACTATGTTAATTTGGCCAAGGAGAGAGAGAAAGAAATGGCCATTTAAATAGTACAAGTGACTCTGCTTGCCATTTCCATTCAAGTGATTCAGATGCCCAATGAGGTTTGAGGGCCACTGCCCTAGAAGAGTAAGCAAAATATGAATCCGCTGTTACGTCAGTGAGTCTTTTGCGGGGTGTATGTGTGTGCATGTGTGTGTGTGGTGCATTTTTTTTATTTTTTATTGACTTTATTGGGGTGACATTGGTTAATAAAATTATATAGGTTTCAGGTGTACAATTCTATAACACATCATCTGTTTATTGTTTTGTGTGTTCACCACCCCAGTCAGTGAGTCTTAATTCCCATGTACCTCTCAGTGAGTGTGGGCATCTCACTTCTATATAAAGTAGCATCTAAAAGCAACCCAATTACTCTACTTATTTTAACTAAAAAAACAGTCCTTTCTAGAACCATAAGGATAACTGAGTTGGACAAATGGAGGGATAGTCTGATGGGCTCTGATATAAGTAACTTTGACTAATATTTTCACTGTACTTCCTGATTTTAGAAGTTAAAATGCAAGAGCACTACATATGCGCATGCACACACACACACACACACACACAGGATTTACTGAACTGGATAGGTAATAATCCAGAAGAAATTCAAAAGGTTGGCCTGAAAACTTCACCAGTTGGCACTCATCTTTAGTAAGCCTAATTTGTGTTGCTCTGGAAAGACTACCCTGCCAGCTTTGATCTTTAATGGGTAATACAGGACAATAGCTGTGTTAAAGGTTTACTGCCATTTTCTTTACTTGCTTGTTTCTAATTTTGTAGTCTTTGAAAAAAATCTTTATGAGGTGGGTTTCCATCTCTAGAATGGAACTTTCCTCAAGTGCCTTCGTGTTTGAGGCATTGAGTTTCCTGCATAAAGGTACATCAAATCTGAAGGTCATATGATAAGAAATCCTAAATAATAAAGAGCTAATATGCAAATGGTCATCACACCCTCACACCATCAAGCCATAATGGCTCAGACTCTCAACACGGGAGAGAGGAATGGGGACCAGCCAGGCACAAATGAGCTCACAAGAGAGGAATGGGGACCATCCAGGCACAAATGAGCTCGTGAGAAAGGAATGGAGACCAGCCAGACTGCAGCCTGGGAGAGGGACAAGCCGCCTGCCCCGTGGTCCCCTGTGACTGCGGCTGGCCCAGGCAAAGCCGGTCTGGGTCCTGGGTGCCTGTGGCTGGCCAGAGGGAGGGAAGTCCAAGTCCTGGGTGCCTGCAACCGGCTGGAGGAGGGAACCTTGGGTCCCAGGTGCGGGGTGAGGCAGAGGTGGTTAGGGATGATCAGACCAGCAGGGGAATAGTTAGGGGCGATCAGGCAGGCAGATGTGGTTAGGGGCGATCAGGCAGGCACGCAGGCAGGCGAGCAGTTAGGAGCCAGCAGTCCTGGATTGTGAGAGGCAATCAGACATCCTCCGAGAGGTCCCGGATTGGAGAAGGTGCAGGCCGGGCTGAGGGACCCCCCCACCCCCACTCCGTGCATGAATTTTGTGCACCAGGCCTCTAGTCTGTAATAAAATTCTTGTATTCACTCATGGTTGACCCAACAGACCATATATATATATATATATATATATATATATATATATATTCCTACACAATATGCTGGGTGTGCCTTGTCTTCTGCAGTACCTTACCCTCTAAGTCAGCAATTTCCAACCAGTGTGCCAAAAGAATTTTTAAAACATGCAATATCTGATTATTTATTTGAGGGCACTGGCCCCTTTTCTTTTTTTAAATTTTTATTTATTTATGAGAGAGAGAGAGAGAGAGAAAGAGAGAGAGAGAGATTTGTCATTCCACTTATTTATGTATTCATTGGTTGATTCTTGTATGTGCCCTAACAGGGTCAAACCTGTAACCTTGGCATATCGGGACAATGCTCTAACCAACTGAGTTACCCTGCCAGAGCCTGACCTCTTTTCCCTTAGATTGTCAAATTGTAAAAGTGACAATAGCCAACACAAAAATAGCAGCCAGGTGTGAATGAATCAAAACTATACCTTTTTTTGTCAGATCAGCAAAAAATACATTTTTTGGTGTGCTGCAGAATTTTAATAGTTTGTGTCTGTCATGAGATATAAAAGGTTGAAAATCACTTATCTAAGTAGCTTGTCTATATATATATATATATATCCCATTGGCTAATCAGGGCGATATGCAAATTAACTGCCAGCCAAGATGGCGGCTGGCAGCCAGGCAGCAAGAAACTAACATGAAGCTTGCTTGCTTCAGTGACGGAGGATACCAACGTTCCCCACCTGCCGCTGCAGGCCTCTGAGCTGCAACTCTAAGCAACTATGTAACAAATATAGAAGCTAAACAAAACCCCAGAAACCTGCTTTAGTCCGCGGGGCTTCAGCCAGCAGAATCGCAACATTGTAAGCAAAGGCCAGAAACCTACTTTCAGCAGCGGAGGCCTAAGAGCTGGAGCCAAGCCTCAAAGCTAAAGCTGGCCCAGAATTTTAAAAAAAAGAGAAAAAAAGGAGTGGCTGGGAGCTTCAGTCACCCGCAGCCTGAAAACAGCCCACAGCCCCTCACCCACACTGGCCAGGCACCCCAGTGGGGACCCCCACCCTGAAGGGTGTGTGACCAGCTGCAAACAGCCATCATCCCCTCACCCAGACTGGCCAGGCACCCCAGTGGGGACCCCCACCCTGATCCAGGACACCCTTCAGGGCAAACCAGCCAGCACCCACCCGTGCACCAGGCCTCTACCCTATACAGTAAAAAGGTAATATGCCTCCCAGCACCGGGATCAGCGGAGCCGCGAGGCCTCCCAGCACCGGGATCAGTGTGACAGGGGGCAGCGCCCAAACCCCCTGATGGCCCTGCGGCCCTGTGTGTGACAGAGGGCGGGGCCACAACCTCCCTATCCACCCTGCTCTGTTCGTGACAGGGGAAGGCGCCCCAACCCCCTGATCAGCCCTGCTCTGTGCCTGATAGGGGGGGCTCCCCAACCCCCTGATCGCCCTGTGGCTCTGTGTGTGACAGGGTGCGGCGCCCCAACCCCCTGATCGGCCCTGCTCTGTGTGTGACGGTGCGGCGCCCCAACCGCCCCCCCCCCCCCCACGGGCCCTGCTCTGTGTGTGACGGGGTAGAGCCATAACCTCCCCATCGGCCCTGCCCTGAGTGTGAGAGTGGCGGCTCCCCAACCCCCTGATCGGCCCTGCTCTGTGGGTGATAGAGGGTGGCGCCCCAACCCCCTGATGGGCCCTGCTCTGTGCGTGACAGGGGGCAGCACCCCAACCCCCTGATGGGCCCTGCTCTGTGAGTGACAGGGGGCAGTGCCCCAACCCCCTGATGGGCCCTGCTCTGTGCGTGACAGGGGGCAGCGCCCCAACCCCCTGATGGGCCCTGCTCTGTGCGTGACAGGGGGCAGCACCCCAACCCCCCTGATGGGCCCTGCTCTGTGAGTGACAGGGGGCAGTGCCCCAACCCCCTGATTGGCCCTGCTCTGTGCGTGACAGGGGGTGGCGCCACAACCTCCCCATCGACCCTGCCTTGAGTGTGACAGGGGACAGTTCCCCAACCCCCCAATTGGCCCTACCCTGACGTGACTGAGGGTGGCATCACAACCTCCCAATCGCCCTGCTCTGTGCATGACGGGGGGGCGCCCCAACTCCCCAATCGGCCCTGCTCTGAGCCCGACCAGGGGCTGCACCTAGGGATTGGGCCTGCCCTCTGCCACCGGGAGCAGGCCTAAGCCAGCAGGTCGTTATCTCCTGAGGAGTCCCAGACTGCGAGAGGGCACAGGCCGGGCTGAGGGACCCTCCCTCCCCCCCCGAGTGCACAAATTTTTGTGCACCGGGCCTCTAGTATATATATAAAAGCCTAAGAGACCATTCAACTGTCTGACCACTAGCTATGACATGCAATGACCACCAGGGGGCAGACGCTCAGACCAGTAGCTATGACACACACTGACTGCCCAGGGCAGACGCTCACTGCAGGAGCTGCTGAGCTGCAGTAACTTCGAAGCTATGGTTCTCGGGTGACGCACCCAGAACCAGAGAGGAGGGAGCCTGATTCCAGGGTGCATCACTCGAGAACTGCCCTCTTTCAATCTGGGACCCCTTGGGGGATGTCAGAGCCAGCTGCAGCCTAATCCCTGCAGGCTGGGCCGAGGGACCCCACCGGTGCATGCCGGGCCTCTGGTCTTCAATAAAAAGTTCAGCTCTGAATACAAAGATTATTGGTATTTAAATAAAGTATTGGTAGGTAGTTAGCATACCTTTAGAAAGGACACATCTGTCATTGATTTAGTGATGTGAATTGTTTGAATTTGAGGAGTTTTCCATAACTCTTGTAGCTTGGCTATGTGTAAGTTCATTTTGTGTCCATCTTTGATTCCATCTGTAGGCAAGGACATTATTATGTGAATTTCATGAGAAAGATCAGTTCAACAAATTAATTATTAAGGTCTATGTATTTACATGTGTCAGTGATTATTCTGGAGAAGTAGCATGGGCTGTTAAAAATTTTTTAATTGCTTTTAGGCAGAGGAAGAGAGAAAGAAAGAGAAACATGGATGTGAGAGAGAAACCTGTTGATGGACACTTGGATTGTTTCCAGTTTTGGACTATTACAAATTTAGCTGGCAGAACAGATTTTAAGTTAAAAGTTTTTATTTAGTAAAGTGAATTAAATAAGCACAGTTTTGTTTTAATGTTATTGATAACAAAGGCCACGATAATTTTATATATTAAACTTTAAATTTAGTTATTTTTTTAAGATTTGGGCAAACCAGATATGGCATACTGAAAGACTAACTAGTTTACCAACAAATAGAAAATCATCTGGAAATTGTTATTATGACCCTTAAATCATCATTTGGAAACTGTAATAATAAAATACTAATTCAACATTTCAAGTATATTATTGTTATTATTTTAACATATTTTTATTGATTTCAGAGAGGAAGGGAGAGGGAGAGAGAGAGAGAAACATCAATGATGAGAATCATTGATTGGCTGCCTCCTGCATGCCCTCTGCTGGGGATCAAACCTGCAACCCCGGGCATGTGCCCTTGATTAAAATCAAACCTGGGACCCTTTGGTCTGCAGGCCGATGCTCTATCCACTGAGCCAAACCAGCTAGGGCTCAAGTTTATTATTTTAAATCCTTTCTCAAGTCGTAAGTATGGGCTAATTCTCTAAGAGTATATCTTTTGTGTCCCTGCTAATAAATATTTCTAAGATGCATATCATAGCCTGATCTAAAATTTAATTGCTCAAAAGCTTGGTAGCATTTTGTTACAGAAAATCAAACATTTAAAAATAATAGTTATAAAAATAATAGTTAAACTCAACAACAAACAACCTAACTGAAAAATGCGCAAAGGACTTGGATAGATTTTGGATGTCTCCAAAGAAGACACACAAATTGTCAATTAGTACATGAAAAAATGCTCACTATCACTAATCATTAGGGAAGTCAAAATCAAAACCATAGTGAGATACCCATAAGGATGCCTATCATAAAAAAAAAAAAAATCCAAACAAAAGTAAGTGTTAGCTAGGATGTGGATAAATTGGAACCATGTGCATTGCTGGTGGGAATGTAAAATGTGCAGCTGCTATGGAAACAGTGTGGCAGTTCTTCAAAATATTAAACATAGCATGGCCATATGAATCAGCAATTCCACTTGGAAACCACATTATGTATATACATTTATAAGTGTGTCTGTGCATTTTTATATCTATATACTTGCAGGTATGTATGTTTTTCCTAGGTAACTGTTAGGACTATAAAATTTCCAAGGAAGAGCAAAGTGAATCCAGGTTTATATATCATTGAATTGAAATTGCTCCCTCCCCAAAATTTGTGAGACACCTTTGTCGCTCTATCCTTCACTCCAAGGGAGAGGAAAACAGCAGCATTAAGAAATATTTTGTTCTTTGAGTTTGTTCAGTTTAAAATTTTTCCTTCAATCGGTGCTCTCTTCTTCTCAACCAACATCAGCTATAAACACAGTTCTCAAATTCATTGCTATTTTGAAAGACTATTTTTAAAATGCTTGATGTAAGATATCTTCATGGGAGACAAAGTACCTGCTGATTGTTCTCTCAAAAATCTTAAAGTCTAAGATCACCAAGGAGGCTAATAAAATCTATTTTTAAACCTCCTTTGTGTGAGAGTTATAGCAAAACTGACTTCTCTGAACCATGTTATTTATAGGTATTATCTGATTTATGTGCTCTACTCACCAGTACCTTTGGAATTCTGGTAATAAGAATGTCCAGCTGATCTGTTTAAAAAAAAAAAAAAGGATGTAATTAGTAGGTAGTAACAACAAATAACTGACAGCTTTATAAACATTAAAGAAGGTATTTTAAATGAAAAAAGGACAGTATTGCATATGCTTTATACTTTTCATGCTTCCATCAGACAGAATGTCTTGCAAATTTTCTTCTGTCATTCTGGTTATATCTGAATGGCTCCAGACTTATTTAAAGTGAGTTATCTGATATTTTCTTTACCATATTATTAGACAGGACTTACTTTAAGGCAAGTTTGGCCTAGTTTTATAGCCTCCTAATCTAATTCCGACATTGAGTTTAATAAAGTAGTTTGGGCTTCTAGTCCTACCCATAGTATTTTCTTGTTCTCTTTATTTTTAATAAAATAATTTGGCTATGGAAAAGACTATCTTGTTTTTTATTGTATGTAATTAAGATGTTCTAGAATCCTAGATTTGGAATGTATCTAATTTTGTATAGGTTCTTTTTTTCCTCAAATTGAGACAAAACACCCTTCCTTCCTTCTTCCTTCCTTCTTCCAATTTATTCAATGAACACGAGTTCATTCATCTCCTGATATACTAGGATCCAGTACTTCACTAAGCACTGAGAGGAACAGAAAAGAAACACAAGACCCCATCTCATCTTTTCTTTTTTAATATATTTTATTGATTTTCCCACAGAGAGGAAGGGAGAGGGACAGAGAGCTAGAAACATCGATGAGAGAGAAACATCGATCAGCTGCCTCCTGCACACTCCCCACTGGGGATGTGCCCGCAACCAAGGTACATGCCCTTGGCAGGAATCGAACCTGGGACCCGAGTCCGCAGGCCGACGCTCTATCCGCTGAGCCAAACCCGTCAGGGCCCCATCTAATCTTTAAGAAGTCTTCAATCCACCACATATTTTTTTTTAAAAAAGGCCATGGCTGCAGCAGAAGCCATGGCTGTGAGCTGCTTTGGCAAACAGCCAGCCGCTCTCTGTTTTAGGGAATAACTGATGAAAAGGATGAGGAGGTTAGTGACTTCAGCAGTGACTTCAGCAACTGTCTTCAGCATCAGGAAATGAGAGTAAAAACTTGCCAAAAATAAAATAGGTTTATGAAGAAACGAACTTCTGTGTGAAGAAAACGTCAAGTACTTCTAATATTCATAGTCATCTGTTTCATGGACTATTATGAATCCCCACTTGACATAACGGTGGCTAATGTCACACACGGGGAACTGATTTATTGACTCGGGAGCCCTCGATTGAACAAGGACTCTTGTCCCCGCAGTCTCCCCTCTCCCCCACCCGGGTTTACGTAGAGTCCGGTGGCCAGGCCGCTTTTCCAGCCGGCTCCCCAGCGCCCCCTCGGGGCAGAAAGATGCAAGCAGGTGACTGTCGCAGTCACCGCGTTGTCATTGCCCCAAACCCTCCTCAGAAACCCTTCCTTTGAACAGCGCGTCGGCTTCCATGTTTCCCATCCCGGCCACAACAAAGGTTCTCCCCGCATCTCTCTTCAGTGCTTTGGGGGCCAGTCGATTGGAGCAGCCAGCTCCCAACCCCTCTCCACAAGGGGGATCATGACCGGGCCGGTGTCCATCCTCCCTAACCCCCCAGGGCCCCGCAGCCTCACCCGCCTCCGCCACCCTCGGTCCTGGCCACTGCCGGAGGCTCTGCGGAAGGGCTGCAGTCCGTCCAGGCGGACACCGGACCCTGGCCGAGCATCTCCTCCCGGTGCAGGGACCGCGAGCTGTGTGCGGGGAAAGCTTTCCCTCTTCCCCTCCCGGGTCAGCACGCTTGCGTCAGGTCGGGCGGGATGGGGGCGAAGAGGCGGATGCCGGATTCTAGCCCCCTCCGGGGCGTTCCGGACACGGCCCGAATAGCTTCGGGAGAGCGGGGAGGGCAGATCCACGATCCCGGAGTTAAATTGGGGAGGAGCGGGAATTCTTCAGTTGACTACGCGTTTGCATCTTTTTGTGGAACGGTTGCGTCACGGAAAGGAAATAAGACATGCCCTCCACCACCGGAGGTGCCTTCCACCTCAGTATTCCAGACCCTCGGCAAATTTGCAAATCTCGAATGTCACCATCTGTGCCAAACATCAGTACGCAAACCAAGGACCCACGCGCCCCGCGCAGGAATGCCGAGTGCTAGCCGTTATCTGTAAACAGTTATCACCAAGGCAACCAGGCTTCGCCAGCCTCACCACCAAGGGTTTGGACCAACAACCTCAGCGCGTGCGCACACAACATCCCTCCTTTCCCAGGGTTTTCTTAGGACGCGTTTCGCACGGGATTTGGCCTGCGGGATGCTCCGTACTCGGAGGTGTGGCATGTAAACAGAACTTGGGTTGTGATTGGTTCGCACCCCGTTCCCGGAACTGAGGGCGTCGCGCGAAGGCTGAAGGGAGTGTGGCGGCCGCTCTTGGGGAGTGCTGCGCGGCGGGCGGCTCCGGGATCTCGGGAGCTGACATGCCTCGGTATGCGCAGCTGGTCATGGGCCCCGCAGGCAGCGGGAAGGTGAGGATTTGGCGGAAGAAGGAGGGGAGAGTAGAAGCTCGTGGGAGGCAGGGAGGTTCGGGTCCAGAGGAGGGGACCGGCGGGTGTTTGTATTGGGGACCCTGAGACCCTGGGCAGCTCCCTTCTGCAGTCTGGGCTTCGGTACCCTGTTCGTTGTTGTTTTGAAAGGAGAGGAGTGATAGTTGCTAATACTTATTTGTATACTTAAGCCCCAGATACTGCGCTGAACACCTCATTTGTTTCCACAACAACCCTCTAAAATAAGCCCTTTTAATCCGGCTGTTACAGACAAGGGAAATGAGACACAAAGGTTCTTTGCTCGGGATCACAGCTAGTAAGTAGCGGCTGGAATCCAGTTTTTTAACATATATTTTTATTGACTTCAGAGAGGGAGAGACAAAAACATCAATGATGAGAGAGAAAATCTTGGATCGGCTGCCTCCTGCACCCCCCTCCCGCCCCCAACTGGGGATGGAGCCTGCAAGCTGGCCACGTGCCCCAACCAGGAATCAAACCATGACCTTCTGGTTCATAGGTCGATGTTTAACCGCTGAGCCACACCAGCCGGGCTGGAACCCAGTGTTGTCTCATCCGGCCCTGTCTAGCTCCCAGGGATCGGTGAAGGCCTAGTTTTGTCCCTAGCAGACACTGCCCAGGGCGTAGCGTCCTTCTGGGGGTGCAGGAGGTAACATTACATTGCTGTTGATCTGACCCCTTGAGCCCTGTGACATTACAGAGTACTTACTGCGCCACCATGGTCCAGCACTGCGAAGCCCTCAATCGGTCTGTCCAGGTCGTGAACCTTGATCCTGCAGCGGAACACTTCAACTACTCCGTAATGGCTGGTGAGTCCTGAGCACAGCTTTCCCCTCCTTCAGGAAAATTAAGGGGTTGAGGAGGCCGGGAGTGCTGGCTGCTCGGCATAGAAGCTGAAATATTATTACTACAGTCTGGTCCCCTGGTTAAATGGTGAGCAGTATGAGGCTGAATGTCATTTGATGACATCCATTTATGTTCAACAGTATCCTTTCTTGTCGTCTCTTAGTACTAAATTCAAGTAAGTAGGTGCCTTCCTCCCTACCCCCTTCCCTTCTGTACTTTCCATGCTTAGTGCTGCTACGGTGAATCTGGTTTACTGCTCATCATACTCTGAGTGAGCCCCCTCAATGTTTGTTTGTTTTTTTAACTCTTAATTTATTCAAGTGTCTGTGGAACAAGACATACGAATCGTACTTTCGTGTACCTTTTAGTCAGGGAGATAAGCAATAAGCAGCATGCTACAGATTGAGATAAAGACTGCCAGTAGGCTGATTAGAGGGAATAACTAGAGGAGATTGCTTTAGGTAGTGTAGTCAGGGATGGTGTCTTGGGAGGAGAGGATATTTGGGCCCAGACCTAAAGATGGCAATATGCTCATCAAGCTGGGGAAAGAAAGGCTTTCTAAAATGAGAGTACATCAAGGTCAATACAGAGCCTTAGAGATGGAAAAGGGTTTGATTTACTCCAGAAAAATCAAAGATTTTGATGAGTTGGAGCATAATGAGTGAAAGAAAGAAGTGGGTAGGAGCTAGTAGGAGATGAGAAGTTTTGGTTATATCCTGTGTGTGTGGTTTTTTTAAACTTATTTTTATTAATTGTAATTCATCTGGTGGGTCCAACAGAATTTGTTTCAACACTTTTTAAAATATATATATTTTATTGATTTTTTACAGAGAGGAAGGGAGAGAGGGATAGAGAGCTAGAAACATCGATGAGAGAGAAACATGGGTAAGCCGCCTCCTGCACACTCCCTACTGGGAATGTGCCCGCAACCAAAGATACATGCCCTTGACTGGAATCGAACCTGGGACCCTTGAGTCCGCAGGCTGACGCTCTATCCACTGAGCCAAACCCGTCAGGGCTCAACACTTTTGTTTTTGTTAATCCTCACCCAAGGATATTTTTTCCAGTGATTTTTAGAGAGAATGGAAGGGTGGGGGAGAGACAAAGAGAGTGAAACATCGATGTGAGAGAGATACATCGATTGGTTGCCTCCCACATGTACCCCAACCAGGGCCAGGGTTAAGCCTGCAACTGAGGCACATGCCCTTGACCGGAATCAAACCCAGGATTCCTCAGTCTGCAGGCCGACGCTTTATCCACTGAGCCAAACCAGCCAGGACTATACAGTTTTCTTATTCTGTTTGGGCTGCTATAACAAAATGCCATAGGTGGAGACTTACAAAAAATGGAAATGTATTTCTCACACTTCTGGAGGCTGGAAGTCCAAGATCAGGATGCCTGCACAGTCAGATTCTGGTGAAGACCCAGTTATATTCTGTAGGCTGCCATCTTCTCCCTGTGTCCTCACATAAGGGGATGAGGGACCTCCTTAGGGGCCTCTTTTATAAGATCCCTCATGACCTAATTACCTCCTAAAGTCCCCAACTCCTAATATCATTGCCTTGGGCTTTAGGTTTTGAACATAGGAATTTTGGAAGGACACAAGTATTGAATCTCTAGCACTTGCCAGCAATGGAATGCCATTAGAGGGTGTTAAGCAGGGGAGAGGGCTGGCATCTGATTTATGTTTTTAAAGATAACTGGCTGCCAAAACCGGTTTGACTCAGTGGATAGAGCGTCGGCCTGCGGACTGAAAGGTCCCAGGTTCGATTCCGGTCAAGGGCATGTGCCTGGGTTGCGGGCACATCCCCAGTAGGAGATGTGCAGGAGGCGGCTGATCGATGTTTCTCTCCCATCGATGTTTCTAACTCTCTATCTCTCTCCCTTCCTCTCTGTAAAAAATCAATAAAATATATTAAACAAACAAAAAAAAAAGATAACTGGCTCTCAGATGACAAATGGACTCTAGAGGGTCAAGAGTAGAAGCAGGGACCAGCAGTGCAGCTATCATAGTTGTCCCAACTTGGCGTCAGATGTTATCCCTGGGAAAGTACATGGGAAGATATTATCCACATACATGGGGCTGTGAGTGAGTCACAGTTCTCTGGGAACAGAGAAGCTAGGTTTGAACACAAAAATAAAAACCTACCGTAGATAGTTAAAAATACTGATTTCCAAAAATTAGTAATAATAGAACCAGGCATATACCAGAAATCTTTGAGCTGCTGCTATAGGTGATGTAGCTATGCTATCTCATATAGTCCTCATCTTTCTACACTAGGATATATGATTTGTACCCCATCTGTAAATATGGAAAGTGAGGCATAGGAGGGTTAGGTAGCTTCCTTGGGCTCATTGTGTTAAGAAACAGTAATTGGTTTTCTTGGTTTGTTTGTTTTGTTTACTGGTTATAGGATACTTAGTGTATATTCACATGGTTCAAAATGCAAAAGGTACAAAAGAGTAAATGTCTCTCCCAGCTCTGTGTCCCAGCAGTCGGCTGCCCTCCTAGGAGGCAGCCAGTATTGCCACTTTCTGGGGTGTGTTTATCCATAGAGAATCTATGCATATAAAATCAAAGATGCATATTATTATGTACATATTGTAAGTCTCTGTCTTTTAAAAAAAAAAACCACAAACGATGGATTCTTACCTGGACTTCTGTACCTTACACTTTTCACTTAACAGTGTAACTAGGAGATTGGGTCATCATCAAATACGTAAAGAGCTTTTCCTTTTTTATGGCTGCATAGGATTCTATTGTCTGGCTATACAATAATTACTTCCCACAGACACTGCTATAGGGAATAACCATGTACAGAAAATAATCTCATATGTGTGAGTTTTTATGTAATGGTTAATTATCCCTTGTGAGGAGGACAGTTTTCAAATGGATGTGCTTCTGTTCCGGGGCCTGCCCATCCTTTTCAGACATCCGGGAACTGATCGAGGTGGATGACGTGATGGAGGATGATTCTCTGCGGTTTGGTCCCAATGGAGGATTGGTGTTTTGCATGGAGTACTTTGCCAATAATTTTGACTGGCTAGAGAGCTGTCTTGGCCACGTAGAAGATGACTACATCCTTTTTGACTGTCCAGGTGGGTGAGCCATTTGAATGTGTCATTTTCCTCGAAGTCATGCTGGGTCTGTCCTCAGTAGGAGAAAGTGCAGTGAGCATTTGTCATTCTGAATTATACAGATTGCAGTAAGGTACAAAGCTCTTATTCATCAGCTCTAATCATTCATTGAGTTTACTGAGTGCTTAACTTTGTACACTGAGAATACCATAGAGAACCAGGGAGCCATGGTCTCTGCCCTGGTGGAGCTCATAGTCAAGTGGCAGTGCTAGACAGTATAAACAAAAATCACCAAATGTTACTTAAT